CCCCCCCCCCCCCCTAATATTTGTTATAAGTAATTTCTGGTAAATGTAGAGGTGATTTGAGCTGATTTTCAGGTGAATTATAAGAGCATTGACGGCCAAACGTAGAGGTTAAATTAAGTGAACGCAAAATATAAATGCAAAATTTTAGTTGCATTTCCGGGCTTTCCGAGTGTCTAAATGTTAAAATATTTTCGGACGACAAAATTCCCCGAGCCCCCATAGTAGATTTGAATCCGCGTATGCTAATATATTCTTTCGAAAGAAACACCTGCCTATTTGAATGAGCGGCTAAGCTAGAGGTCATGTTGGCCATGCTGGGCAAGAATAACCATCTTTTAAATATTTTTCTAATCACACAATTTTTTGTTGTTATTCTCTTTGCGTGAATTTCGCCATCCCGGTCCTCTAAATTTCAAATGGAAAAAATTGGAGTCCTAGCGACACGAAGCATCGAGTAATTTTCACCCCTAACTAGTCTAAAGCCCCGGAGAGATAGGCAAATTTTCTTGATACTGACTTTTATTTGCTCATGTGTAACGGCAAAAGTTGACAATTTTTCCTTATACCAATTAGGAGCCTTGTTCCAAAGCAAGTCATGTCATCTTTCGGACAAGGAAAATTTATTCGCGTGTAGGGCCGCCAAGGAAAACCTGACAAGTATCGAGTCGTTTTCTTTTGTTTCTGTTTGATTTTTATTAGCGCCTGGGGACGAGGCAGCGAACCGGGTACGTTCTGGCAAAACATAAACTTTAAAAACGTTTTCACGTTTTGATAATGTCACCAGCTGCTCTACTTATCATACATTTGAAACGCTATAAAGGTGGCTCGCCATAGATTTCAAATTTCAGATTAATTAAAGTAGTTTGATATTCTTATAAATTTCGTATTTTTAAACAGGGCATATTGGGTTGTACACATATTTAAATTTATGGGATGTACACAGACAATGAAATGTTTCGTCTTCTAAATTAATTTTGGTAACACTTAGAGCGCTTTCCATTAACACGGCCAGACCGGTCAGAAATCAGAACGGCCAAATTGTTGAATGAAACACAAGACGTTTGGGCTTCGGACATATCTGACCGGAAAATTTAGCCAAAATTAGAATGAGGTCTATTTTCGCTAGATATTTTAGAAACATAGATCAGATCTTTCCATTGATACAGAGACAAAAATTCGGGCCTGACCGGTCAGGCCATTAAATGGAAAGCGCCCTCAGTCAATTATTTATGGCAAATAAAATGTCTAACAAACGTAGTGACGAAAATAACTTAATGCTATTCAACGCGTTGTGGGTCGAATCATGCACAGTATTTTGTGACTGTAATTTGCCCAATTTCGTTAATGGTTTATGAACTATTTAACTTGCTTTTTTCATAGCTTTTAAATATTATGCTTCCCTGCTATTTTAAAGCTATTATTCGTGACAAATGTCTAAGGGGTCGATTACATGGAGCATTTTCAACCCCGGGGTTGAACTCAGCCCTGTCAACCGGGTTGAAATATTTTGCGATTACATGGACGATTTCAACCCTGGGGTTAAAACGTTATACTATACGTTCTCGGCATCGATTCGCGGAAGTAAAAAAGCCTTTATTTTGTTTTCTTGTAATAAATAGTCACTACCACGCATGCTCGAATAACTCATTATAATTTCAGCCCCGGGTTGGAACGATTACATGACAAAATTTTCAACCCAGGGCTGAGTTCAACCCCGGGGTTGAAATTTCAACCCTGCTAGCTGAAGCAGGGTTGAAATTTCAACGCCGGGGTAATCGCGCGTTTGATTTGATAGAGTCTTGTATTACAGACAGGGCTGAAATTTCAACCCGGTAAACAGGGCTGAGTTCAACCCCGGGGTTGAAAATGCTCCATGTAATCGGCCCCTTAGGGTTGAAATTTCAACCCCGGGATTGATACGGGGTTAAATATGAGGATACACTTACATCCATGAAAAACGCCTTATTAAAAGTACATATATTGCCATGCATTGTGTACCTTTAATAAGACGTTTTTCATGGATTAAAGAATTAAAGGTACACAATGCCATGCATTGTTTTGCTTGACGATTGCCCGCAAAAATAAATTTAAAGGAAACGAAATACTTCTTTTTTCAAAGAAAATGGTTTTGGGGTTATCGTTCTTGTTTTCCAACGACGCAAATCATCACACAATTTCCAACACTAAGTTTGTTACGCATTGGTTGCCATAACAACTGACTAAGTATCAATTTAATTTCAATGTCTGTATATACCACTGAGCTGTATAATAACTGGAGGACCTGCTCCTATAACCCAATATCCCTCATACGTTTAAAAAATACTAAATTTAAGAATATCAAACTACTTTAATCCGACATTTGAAATCTGTCACGAGCCACCTTAATGGCGTTTCGAGTCACCAGTGGAACAGATGGTGACATAAAAAAACTCAAACTTGAAAACGACGCTTGGAGTTGCAACATGGGTCGTGGTTTTAATTTTCGACTCTTGTATCGAGTCGTTTTCTTTTCCTTCTGTCTGATTTTCGCCTGTTTTTATCATGGTGGTGGTTCAGAGTATGACAGGCGAGAAAATAAAGTAAAGAAATTAAAAGATGAATTCAAAGATAAACCCTTGAATGTTGACGTTTCTCTCGAACAAGACGAACGCGTCTCTAACTTGATAGAAAATGCGAAACAAATTGATGGCCGCAAGGCGCGGAAGAAAACTGATCTTTCAAAGATAGTTAGAAAAGGTAATTTTGAAAATGTGACAATGTTAGCATTTCAGAAGGAGTAATTGTAAACCATAATTTATTTTATAGGAACTCCGATGAAAACACTCCGAAGTGAAAGAATACAAAAGAGCCCAGTACTGCCTTTTTCAACTCCATCGCCGTCTGAGGTAAACGTTCCACGCAAAGAATCGACAACCATCTCCCATTCAAATGAGACAGAATGGAAAAACGATGGCAGTAAAAATATATCTTTATTGGGGAAAAAAATGTTTCACCAGAATTACTTCAGAGAAACAGCCAAAAGAGAAACGTTCGCTTCATTCACAACTCAACATCTCCGAAGCAGACGTGAAATTGATGCGATCTTGGAAAGTCCAACCGAATGCGCCAATTTTACCTTTACTATAAAGTATGAAGATATCTACAGAGTTTGGAACAACTTCTCAATGATGTACCAAAGCCGAATGTACCGTTATAACGAGTACAGAGTTACGGACGATGATCTACAAGTTTGTAATTCTTCTGACCCTCTTATTAAACAAAGATGGCCGGGTCTGGTTGCTCGGGAAAAAAAAGTGTTGGCTTCCAAATATTGTAATGTATCCGTAGTTGTATTTTACAACTCCAATTACACATTATACAGAAATCTTTCTGTTTTCTTCAAACCCACTCAGCAGAGTTTCACAAGGCAAGATTACGGAGTGACTTTTGGATATTTTGCAATTTGTTCGGCAAAGCTTAGTCTGTCCTACAATAATTCTTTGGTTAAAGACGGTAAACCTCATATATGGGAAGAAAAAAACTTAAGAACCACATCAACCGAGTATACCCTGGAAGATCTATTAATATGCATCCATTCAATCATCAATATAAAATACGATGATGAATACAAAGTTCGGACAGACTTTTCAATACTCTATAAGAACAAGATGTACGATTATACCGAGTATCGAGTTCTGAATGATAGCATAAAGATTTGTAACTCTACTGATAACTACGTAAGGAATATTTGGAAAGTACGCAATAAAAGGGTAAAGTTGACAATGCATTATAAAAGTTGCAATGAACCCATTAAAGACTTTTTGTCACACCGACAGTATTATACTGTGAATAAGCAGTTCACTGTATATTTCGTAACCACGAGTCAATATTTCAAAAGAAATGACTATGGGGTGCAGTACGGTAAACCAGCAATATGCCAAGAAAAGTTCAAACCCACATCAACAGAGTATACCCAGGAAGATCTATTAATGTGCAACGACTCAATCATCAATATAACATACGATGATGAATACAAAGTTCGGACTGACTTTTCAATACTCTATAAGAACAATGTGTACGATTATACTGAGTATCGAGTTCTAAATGATAGCATAAAGATTTGTAACTCCACTGATAACTACGTACGGAATATTTGGAAACTACGCAATAAATGGGTAAAGGCGAAAATGCATCAAAAAGGTTGCAGTAAACCCAATAGAGAGTCATTGTTGAATCAAAAGTATTACACTGTGAATAAGCAGTTCACTGTTTATGACGCACCTTGGAGTCAATATTTCACAAGAAATGAGTATGGGGTGCACGACGGCAAACTTCATATATGCAAAGAAAAGTTCAAACCCACCTCAACAGAGTATACCCGGGAAGATCTATTAATGTGCAACGATTCAATCATCAATATAAAATACGATGATGAATACAAAGTTCGGACTAACTTTTCAATACTCTATAAGAACAAGGTGTACCATTATACTAAGTATTGAGTTCTGAATGATGGCGTAAAGACTTGTAACTCCACTGATAACTATGTAAGGAATATTTGGAAACTACGCAATAAATGGGTAAAGGCGAAAATACATCAAAGAAGTTGCAATAAACCCATTAGAGAGTATTGGTTGAAACGACAGTATTGCACTGTGAATAAGCAGTTCACTGTCTATTCGGGACGTCGTGGTCAATATTTCCCAAGAAATGAGTATGGAGTGGAAGACGGTAAAGCATATACATGCGATGAAAAGTTCAGACCCCAATCAACAGAGTATACCCAGGAAGATCTATTAATGTGCAACGATTCAATCATCAATATAAAATACGATGAAGAATACAAAGTTTGGACTGACTTTTCAATACTCTACAAGAACAAGGTGTACGATTATACTGAGTATCGAGTTCTGGATGATAGCATAAAGATTTGTGATTCCACTGATAACGACGCAAGGAATATTTGGAAAGTACGCAATAAGTGGGTAAAGGCGACAATGCATCAAAAAAGTTGCAATAAACCCAATACACTGTCATCGTTGTATCGAAAGTATTACACTGTAAATAAGCAGTCCACTCTCTA